AGTGTTATTTGAATAATGTCACTACAGCCGGGTCTATGATATGAGTAAATCTCCCTTTTCATATGAAATGTAGTCCTTTTAAGGGGTGAAATATAATCCTGAACAGAGACTCTATTTACCACTTAAGCCCTATTTTATGGTTTAAGTGTCGACCTTGCACTGACCCTCAGCACAGGGCTGAATTTCACCCTACAGCAAAAATCTGCTGGCTAGAGCAGTGGATTAGAGAAATTGGGGCTAGACATTTTACTATTTGCAAGACAATGAAAACAGGCTTATTTTAGACAAAAATGTTTCTGATTTATGAGAATTTTAGTGCAGAAAGGGGCTATTTTGGAGAAAGTCTTGAGATTAGAATTTCAGTTATATTTTTGGCAGGAGAGCAAGGAAGCCATTTCATTAACTTTTCACTGGAAGTTATATATGGAGGGCATTTGTGTACACAGCTGGGCAGCATAAAACAGGAGGGCTTTGTGTGAAAATATCCTGAAATGAAATTTCATTTCTGTATGAGTTGGATCTGCGTTCCTGGGCTGCCGTGGCCAGTTTTGGATGAAACCATGGGAGGGCAGTGTGAGGCCCTCACACATTTTCCCTTGCGTTTGCAATGGACGTAGAAATAGTGAACAGACCACTGCGGTCTCTGTGCAAAATCAGTGTCACCTTTTATAGCTTTATGTCAGTAGATAAGCTCCTGCCTGCTCCCACGTATCCATATGGCTGTAATCAAGTGATACCAAGAGATTTGTTTGTGAAGAACTCCAAAAGCCACATGCTGAGGCTGGTGTGAATTTAGCTCTGCTTTGACCTCCCTCCTTTTCCACCAGATGGCTGCTAATCTGGCACTAAATCACTGCCATGGTGGAAAGAGCCCCTGGTCCACGTGGAAGAGGCTGTGGCTGTGCTGGGCAAAGTGGGACCATCCCTGAGTCAGCCCTTGGGAGTATTGCTCGTTCTTGACCCCACTGAAGGGCATATCTTGTGTAGCTTCCAGATTTTACAGGGCCCTCTAGTAACTGTGCTTGATTAGGAGCCCATGCTCTTGCTTGGGGTGTGATGATCTGCTTGTTGATCATCTTATCACAGAATCATAGAGTGGTTTGAGTTGAAAGGGTCCTTTAAGGTCGTCATGTTCCAACTCCCTGCCCATGGGCAGGGACACCTTCCACTATCCCAGGCTGCTCCAAGCCCCGTCCAACCTGGCCTTGGACGCTCCCAGGGATGGGGCAGTCACAGCTTCTCTAGCTAACTTGTTCCAGGGCCTCGCCATCCTCATAGGGAAGAATTTCTTTCTAGTATCTCATCTAAATTGCTCCTCTTTTAGTTTAAAACTCTTCCCACTTTTCCTGTGACCATCTGCCTGTGTGGTCTTGTAGGGACGTGAAGCATGGAAGACAGAAGCCCCTGCAGAGGACACTTCTCTAATATTACCTCCAAGTTACATTGGTCCTTCTTATCCATGCGTATTCATATTCTATACACTGTCATTTATGTTATTTTGTGCTTTTCAGAGTAAAATGCAAATAAGTAGGAATAACACATGCACTGAGGATTCCTGCTCTAGTTTCTCGTGGCAGATAATTTTGCAACTGCTTCTTTGCAAATGAACTTGCGTTCCCTTCTGCCCAGAGGTTTTACAGGTACTGGCATGGGAAACTCAATATCTCTGTCCAAAACTGTCTCCCATCTCCAGCAATAAGCTCTCCCTCATGGGAGGAAGCAAGAAGACATAACTGCCTCCACTCCTACACAAAATAGGAGTCGTTGTCTGCTTTTGCTCCTGTGTCCCAGGCTTTCCTTGGGTTGGTTCTCATCAGTCAGTGCTAAGGTCAGACAAGCAGAACTGCCTTTTCTCAGTGCTCATTCATACTGATTCTGGTGGATTCGCATGTGATGGTCTGATGCATAACCTCCAAATGCAGGGTTTCTCATCTTTAGAAATAAGTCTGAAGAATATTCCATACTATCAGAAAACACTGCTGGTGTATATATATATTCTTTACCCTGAGACATCTTGGTATAGAACTGTGATCATTTCACTGTCCTTGTTCTCACTTTCAAGCCAGGGAGTCTCTCATGTTATCTACATGTAGACTTCAGTGCTAAGTGCCTCAAGAGGTACAGGGATGTTTTAGGACTTCCTTAAACTCTAAGCAAACATAGAGCACGCTTTTACCAGTCTGCTCCCCCATGTACATTTTGATTATTATTTGATTCTGTGATCTGCTAGGTCCTGTAGACTATCCTTCACCAAAAAAAAAAAGCTTGTAGGACAAGCAAGAAACAATAGGAGAAGGCAAATATGATATTATCCTCTTAAAAAAAATACAAACTGGGGCCATGATTATGTACACGATTCTCTCCAAGACTGTGTAGACTTGTGCAACATTATTTTTTTCCCTATATCATCTTTAATTCTCATCCATACAATCCTATATTGCCAAACAACTGTTTTTCTGTACTTTTCACAAGACTGGTTTGGTTTCTCTTTTCCTTTGGGGAAGAACTTTTCCCTCAGAATGAGGTTTTGATTTCTGCTTTTAGATGCTTCAAGACAGAAGCGAACTATCTTCATCCAAGAAAAAGGAGATGATAAATAACTGGCAGCCAGATTAAAACCCCACCCCACCTTGATTAAGCAGTTTATGATGTTGAAAAACAACCAAAAAAAGTGATAAGTACCTTATTCTGGTGTTGACCCACTGTACTACCAGTCCATAAGCTTTTACTTTGCAAAGCATTAGGAAAAAATGAAGTCTAGGAAAGACACTAAAGCCACAGCCTAGTCTATATCTTTTTGTTTATTTCTGATACTATGTGGTTCATGATTGTTTCTTTTAGAAGGAACAAATAATCAATACAAAGCCATGAATAAAAATAACTTTTCTTTAACACTGGATGCTAAAAGAACATATAGTCTTCTTACTGTGCCTGATGGAAACAGTACAAGTCTGTTCTCCACAATTCGTTGTTTATTGGAATGCCTGAAATCTATACATGAGGTATTTTTAAAACATTTAAACATAGAAGTTAAGCTTCTGCTCCAGAAAATTTGTTTCACCATATTCTAAAAACCCGATGCATACCACAGAAGTGCTTAAAGCAAAGAAACAACAACAAAATTTTTTAAAAGTAAACTTCAATATTAGATAAAATAATCTCCATATTCTCAAGGAAAATTTGCTTTCCTCATGAGACAAGTTCTGTTATTTGCTGACTCAGCTGCTGTACAAGACCCTCAAGGCTCCAATTCTCCCTGTGGCACTATGGAAAGATGTGCCAATAGTCAACACTTGGCTCTTTCTGAAAGATTATAGCTCTTCCAAGTACAGAACAATCAAAGGTTAGTAATGATCTAGAAACTCTGGATGGTGTCTCTCCTTAGGAAATGGAGAAATAAACCATTGTGAATTAGTGTCACTCAGTGAAATGAACTCAGGAATGTGCAGGGATGGCACCTGACTCCTGGAGCAGAGGATAAATAACAATATGGGACTGTGAGAGCCCCTGCTCATAGATGTGGACCAGTCACGGTCCTCTGTACCTTTTTTCCCCTTTGTAAAGCTGCAAATATCTTGTGTTCTAATCTCCTGTGATGGAATAAATACTCAATTCAGTTACATGTTTGCTGTTTGCAGGGTAAAGTCCAGTGCTATCTTGTAGGCTTAGACCCCGACCTCACTCAGCTGTATCTCTCTCTCTGATGCTCAAACTCCAAAGCTTCTGCTTGCAGAGTTTTTATTGAAGTTATCTGACCCCTTGCAAGCAGAGGATTTTGAGTGTCCAGCCAAGCAAAACTTCATCTTGGTCAATCAGGTCTGCTTCATTTCTGCAGAAATGCTGCATAAACAAGGAAAGCTGCAAGGCAGGGACATTATTTCAGGCCTGCTGTATTGCAAACTCCCTTGCAGCTAAAATATCTAATGTACAATTAACTGCATGAGCTTAAAATAGTGATGCACGTTTCACAGATGACATAACAGTGGCTAAAAATCAGCCTTTTCCCCAATATCACCACAGTTAATGTTTCAAAATATGAGGTCACTTGTTGAGTCTTTCCAAAATACTTTTGTTAGGATTAGAATATAACTAATTAAAAACCATAATTTGCACCACACTATGAATATTTAATTCCTATCTTGGGCATCTTGAGAGTGTCTGCTTTGAAATTCTATTTAATTAGAATGCTACTTGTCTGTATGACATACAATCAAGTGATTCTTCTATGACCAACAAACATACATAAACACATAATAAGCCATATCCTAACTTGGAAAATCTATTTTTTCAGCAAGAAAATACCCTAAGAAACTTCCCTCTTTATGTGTACAGGAATATGCAATATGAAAATCTTCACAATTTCATGACTTTTCCATCTAAAGTAGTTTAACAAACAAAATGTAGCACTTGAAATACTGGTATTTGTTGCAAATGAGTTACTCAACTCCTGTTATTTTTCAACCTTTAAAACTGGAAAGGTCCCCATACTTGTCTTTCATGACTTCTCCACTTTTGAGACTCTATATTTCTATACATACAAACCACTGACAACTGATGCTACTTTATTCTCAGATAACACACTGCCAAATCCAAAGATTCAGACTTAACCTTAACTTGTATTTGAAAAAATCAAATTAGTATTAATCTAATTCAGTAACAATTTAAGTGACTAAAAACTTTTCATCAGAATTAAGATGACGATCCATACTTCTTACTGGCTTACAGTTCAGGTCAAATAAAATTTTCCCAGGAATGTGAGGATATTAGTAAAATGAGCTTTCAGGTTACTTTAAAATTTGGTAATTTAGGCCTTTCTGCAGCGTAAAAAATTGTATGTGCACGTTGCGTAGAAGTCAAGTGATGGAATTTGTATGGTAGAAATTTCTGGTCATATTTAAGCCTATAAGGTATTCTTTTGCATTTTTCTTTCAGAAAATAAATTAATAAATGCAAAATATCTCTGAACACAAACCAGTAACTAATAACTCAATGAAACTTACCTTTCTTCAGCCAAGAAATATTTTGCTTCTCATGTTCAAAACTTTCTGCTGGTTTGATTTTTACCTTGTCTGTCTTGTCTTCTGACATCTGTGAGGGAGAAAAGAATTTTGGGGTGTCAAGTTCTCTTAACAAAAGTTTGACAGAGAAAGATGTTCTCTGTTTATGTTCCTGCCATAATAAATTGTGCTTGCTCGCACAGACACTTTTTTTCCTGCAGATTATCAATACTTCATAATATCTGAACCATTAAATTTATGTTCTGTTCCTAAATGCTTTATCAATATTACATAGTTGCTGTTTGTAGAGTGATGCTTTTGTAATGTAACTATAAATTACATTGTGAAATAAATTATAAGCTCATAGCATGGTGGTAATAGATAAACATGTAACACAGAGTAGATACATTCTGACTAAAAAGGAGGCACCCAGGCTGCCTGTTCGTTCTGGTTCAAAGTTGCTGTAAAGCCTGCTGTCAGAGAGGTATAATTATACAAATAATAATAATAAATATTTATAAAGGCAACTTGAACAAAGTGTACCCAAAAAAAAAAAAAATCTTCACTGCACTTGTAACAATTTATTTGCTGTAACGCGAACGATCACAAACAGTCACGGTACCTGAGGGCATTGTGTGCACAGGAGCTCTCAGCCCAGACACTGTGGTTTACTTCCACTGCCCGCTAGGAATAAGATTAGGCTGCCCAGGCTTCTCCTGATTGCTTTATATTTTCACTGAATTCAGTTAGGTAAAGCATTTCTCTATTTTTACCTGTATCTTCCTCGCGGGGGGAGCAGCAGGGCTCAGTCACAGGAGCAGCGCTTGCGGCCGAATCCCTCCTTGTGTGTGGATGTCCAGCATTCCCACACACCGACAAACCGAAAGGATGAGCAGTGCAACTCCCTGCCTGCCTGCTGTGTGGTGCCAGATTTGTCTTGCTGCCAGAATCAGTCAACTTATTCCTGAGGGTTTGTTTCTGTTTGTTTGGTTTTTTTTCCCCCCCTTGATTTTTGTTTGCATGCACTTATAGAGCTGGGTAGGGTAGGGAAGGAGGGGGCTAATCAGCACCCCAGCACTAGTGGAGTGATAATAAAATATCAAAAGCTTTTCAAAAAGGAAAAATTGGTTTGGAAATGTTATTACTGCAGTTCATAACCCAGTGAATGTGCAAGAGGAGGAGGAAAATAGAAAGGGAACCAGGAAATTAATAGCGACAAATCAGATAAACGTGTCAGTTTTTTGGCTAAATATAAGTTAAGATACCGAAGGATGTAGAAATCAGACACTAAAAGTCTATTTACAGCTGTCACTTTGGCAAAGAAATGGTCTAAGCTGATGGGGAGCTGGGTGCTGTGACCCTCCCCAGCTCAGGAGGGTGAAATCCATCCTTATGCCAGTGGGAAGGTCAGCCCTCGCATCCACTGCCACAGGGCTGAGTAGCCCCTCTGGGAACAGCACAAGGGCTGGGTGGGCTCGACAGCAACACAGGGCAGGGAACAACCTAGACTGCCCCATACCTTGAAGGCACTACAAAGTTAAGGTTCTTAGTTGGCTTTAAAAATTCTCTTGACTTAATTACCAGCAATATTGCTCCAATGTCAGTAGGAGCAGGGTGAAACCTAAAGAGAACAACAAGATTTTAGGGTGTTCAGATGTTTAATCTTTTCTATAGGACAAAAAAACCAAGCCACTCTGCTTCTCACAACTGAATTTTGAAAGTGTTGGTTTTGGAGTAGATGCAGAATTACTCAGTTATCTTACTTTTTAAGCAATATTTACAAAATTTCTAGCAGCATTTGTCACCAGATACTATAATCCAGGATCTCAGTGCTTAAGTGTGGCCAATAAATAATAACATATTCCCTTTGTTATGACAATTATCTTCCTCTACTCTCCCATCACATGTCATTCTTGCAAGAAAAAAAATGTTTTCTTTCTTTTTTTTTTTTTTTTTAAATCTCCTGTGCCAACATGACTGAGATTCTTCTACCATCTTTAGCTAATTGTGAATTGCATGGTAAGTGCCTACTTACCTCTCCAAATTGAAATGATTAGTCTTGCATGGTTTGAAAACCTATTTTAAGCAGGGTACTTTGGAAATAATTGCAACCACAGGGGGGAAACATCTAGGGGTAATATTTTAAGATCTTTGTTCCATTCCCTTTGGAAGCAGCTTTGAGAATTATGTATTTTCAATTGCAGTTTCTCTCTCTCCCAGAAACACTTGCCTATTTTTCCATGTTGTTGCATCTGCGATGCTTTAATTTTATCAGTGGTGCTGGTTCTTCAGCTGGATTTGTCAGGGCAGTCTATGGAGCTCCTGGTGGGTCCTGATAAAATCAGCTGGGCTCCACACAGAGCAGTCTAGACCTCTCTGATTGCAACTTGGACCTGATGCTACTGTGCATTTCAGAAGCGCTGTTTAAAATGATGATATGGGTTGTTTCCAAAACAAACTAGAGAGAAAATTCCCTAGTTCATCTGAAAAGCGTGTGGTGTTTCAGACTGGTTGGTTAGATTATTTGAACAGGACTCACTGCTTTTCTAGAGGTTTTGTCAAAATCCCAATGCCTCCCAAAGAAAGCAAAACAGATGAGAAAAAGCCCCTCTAAAACCACAGCACTGAAAGCTGCTGTCGCTTGATATAACAGACCCTGAAATCTTGTCCTTAAGGGTTTTTCTCTCTTAAGCTCTCCTTGAAACTAGCAGGAGCTAGAACTGAGCCCAGGTTCAGCCTCCTGGCGTGCAAGAAGCCAGGGTGCTTCACTGCTCAAAGGCAGCCCATTGCTAAATGTACCCTCCACAGCATGACAGTACCAGTTTGACAAAACTGAGCAAACACAAACCTGACTTTAAATCAGATTTTACATCTTAATATCTGACCTTATACCTGACTTTGAGCTTCAGCAAAGATAATGCAGATTACTGCTCTGAGATGTTCTCTTCACCTGCTGTCCTCAGCTGAGGTGCCCTATAGGACCCCTGGGTGTTGATGGCATGCAAACCTACAGAGGTTAGTGAACCCAAACCTCAGGAAATATCCCACCAGTGAGTTAAGAAAACATTAAATAACTGTCCTGTTCTGAGTATTGTCCCTTACTGACATTTGATTAATGGTCCTAATGTTTTCAATCCAGGAGTATTAAATGCAACCTTTCTTAATCTTGGTCAACTCCAGTTTTCTACTGAGACATGTTCCCGTGTGCTATTTTTGGCTTTATTTAATTAAGTTATTCTGGATAAATGCATCAATATTTCTGTTTCCTAATCAATCTTAAAGTAGTTAGAGGAAAGGCAAGCTTGCCATGCATCCTCAGTAATGCCAGGTTTTACAAAGGAAGAAAAAAACATTATGAGAGAAGGTTATTAAAATATTGAGTAAACTTGTTTCTGTTAAAGCTGTAATTGAATTTTTAAAGCCTTGGCCCATTTTAAACACTGAACTTTAGTTTATGGTTTGATAATTCATTTCACTTTCATTTTATAGGCTTTATTTTATAGCTACTAAATATCTATGGGCCATCCCTTGTTCCTTTTCCTTTCAGATTGTGAAATAGGGCATTCAAATGGAGGATTAAAAATAAAAATCATAATGCCAAAATAGATGTGATATCAATCGGTTCCCAGATAAATGTACTGTATCAAGTGCTTGTTGAGATTTAGGAGTATATTTTTCTGGTCTGCTCAACTGGGAGTGCAATCAAGTCTTTGCAGAGTCGGAGAATAGGAAACTTTAATAGGTCGTAATAACTATCAAATAACTATCAATAACTATCAAAGCAGGAAAAAAACTCATTGTTGGTCCTAGCAAGAATAAAAACTCTTAATTTCCTTAATGTTAGGTCAAGAGTCTGGTGCTGGATCCTGTCCTGAGTCTGACGCGGGATGTGTAGCCATAGTCGGGAGAGTTTTTGGTTACATCCATGGGTGCAGCATTTACAATATTTAATTTCACTACCTTTGACTTTTTACTGGAGGCTATGAACTGTGTGCCTAAAAGCTGCTTTTTCCATGTGAATTTTACACAGCCTAGCATGAAATTAAGCAGTTACTTTTTTCTTGCACAATCCATGTAAAACATAGTCACTTGTCCATGGGCAAGTGGCGCTCTGTAGCTTTGGAATACCCCACACTGCAGTAAATGTGGCTTATTAAAAAAAAAAAAGTGTGCTGATACTATGTCTTTGCTCCCTTTTGCACCCTGAGGTGATCATTTCCAATAATAAAGTGAGAATAATGTGATGTGCCCTGTCAAAATTAAGGAATCTCTTCTTGATCATGCATCTGTAGGTAGAATATTAAGTTGTGGAAACACAAAATACAGCCAAATTATCCTGGTGATTACATGTAAAATGCACAGGTTTTTAGCTAAACCATCATGTCCTGTGAGTACTTCAAATGCAAAACAGGCTGTTTATAGAGACTACCTCAAACTGGCACTGACAAATGATCTATATGCTGCAGAGGCTCAGAGCAGTTCAAAGACAGGATTTTACTCCCCATCACTCTGCCTTGTAGACACTCCAGATAATTTTTCAATAATTCTGTGTCCTACAAGAGGAGACACAAGGTTTTATTTCACTTTTTCACTCAGTGCCACTGTGGGTCAGTGAAAGTCTGGGAATATGTTTAGACTGGAGGATGGAATAAAAGCTTGAAAAGAGTTGCAAAGGCAGGTTAGCATAGAGGTCACTAACATGGAGAAAACCCAGACCCATGAGATTGAGAATGCTTTACTGAACAGTAAAGAAAAGAGAGAGACTGCATGTCTTTCATTGTCCAAGAGGGCAGGAGGGAGGTTACTTGGTGTTCATGTGAGAAAGTGATGATGGGGACACTGCTGGGAGAAGAGGATGAAGGTCAAATGTGAAACAAAGTTGAGAGGATGATATTGTGGAACTGGGATGGGGAAGGCAGAGAGACCCTGGAGCTGTGAAAGGCCCATCCAAGTTGGGAAAGGGTCTGTGAATGCAGCAGTGAAACACCTTGGCCGTTTTCTCCCCTATCAGAGGCCCCAGTGAAATTAAAGCCCAGAGTTTATAACATACAAGCTATGTGTGCCTTTGTATATCCTGTCCTTAAGCAGAAAATCCTCCAGTGCTGGGTCATGTTTTGTCCATCACAGACCACGTTCTCCAAGACCTCTATATGTGCTGTTCTGCATTGCCCTGTCATTTGAGTAAAAAGCATCTTAAACCCAACGGATTTTCAAAACATCGATACATAGTGTTTTATGGGGTTATTTGACCTTTTAAAGGCTCAGTCTGGTGCATTTGGAGAGGCAGGTTAAACAGCTCCCTAGCGTCCCTTGGCCTGGAAGGATCCATCCCTGCTACAGGAGACTTTTCCAGACAAATATTTAAAAGTCTCTTGGCCATTACAGCAAAAATTGAGAAAGATTTGTTATGATGAAATGGAAAAAAGCTGAATACTTGCTGCTATATCACAATGTATGCTGTTATAAGGGAGACAGGAATATGACCATCTCATGGAGGCATTGTATCCTTTGGCAGACAGGTGTAACCAACAGAAGGTAGGAGGCTTTCATGTCAGGTGTAACAGGTGCAAAAAATGAAGGTTATATTTTCATTGCAGCAGTTCATTACTACTGTCTAGGAAATGGCTATCTTGGATTACTGCAAGGCCCCTGGCTGAATGTTTTTACAGGATTTTTAAAGGCAATGATCTCCTTCTTTAGCTCAGTGCAGGATTGATTTGTGTCTCCTTGCCAATGCTTAGATAACCTGTTCTTGAAGTCCCATGAAGACACACAGGTACATGCCCTTTCCAGGCAGTCCAGCACTTTTGTTTCCTGATAACAAATACACAAACTTATCATGATGTCTAACCTAACTCTTCCTTCACTGTAGATTCA